TGTATATATATATATATGTATGTATATATATATATATATACATACATATATATACATATACAATACATATATATGTATATATATATATATATACATACATATATATACATATACAATACATATATATGTATGTATACACACACACACACACACACACAGTGTCTTCCCCTGCTCAGTCAACATTTCATCTTGATGTCAAAGGTCATTCTTCTAGTACTTTACATGAGTCCACCTCCTCCCACTCCTTCCTAGTCTCTGGTTCAGATTTATACTTTATGAATAATATGAGTGGTACTCTCTGTGATTTGTGTCACCAAATTCAGGAGCTTTTGATTTAAGAGTACCTGAAGAATTTACAGAGGCTTTAAGTTTAATGAGGATTATGAGGAGGGTGTTAATCTTTGAGACAGCTAGTGCAGGTCTTAATAACATCAGGATCAATAATTTGTTCAATAAAGAGCAGTTTTATGTACATCGGTTGTCAAATTTGATTTTACAGATGATTTACATCAAGACGTGAGTGTAATTAGGATTTTTTTTTAATTCTCCCCCCTTGTGAACTGCTACCCACAGGTGAATGGACGAAACATTCTCTCTGTTGATTACGACCGCACCCTGAGGACGGAGAAGATTTATGACGACCACAGGAAGTTCCTGTTAAAGATCATATATGACACTGCAGGCCACCCCGTCTTGTGGATGCCCAGCAGCAAGCTGCTGCCGGTTAATGTGAGCCGCACAAGCAGCGGGCAAATCAGCGCCCTGCAGAGAGGTCCTACCACTGAGAGGCTGGAGTACGATGGCCAGGGTCGCCTGGTATCCAGGGTGTTTGCGGATGGGAAGATATGGAGCTACACCTACCTGGAGCAGGTGAGGAAATAACGTGCCCAGCACAAATCACTGCAGGGATATGTTGTGCGCTGGGCTGCATTTGACCTCCACAAATAAGATTCAAACCTTCAATTTATTCTTTGTTTCTCAGGATTATCAAGTTAATAATGGCTTCATGTAGTTTTTTTTTACTTCATAACAATAGAATAATTAAAGTACACGTGTTTACATAAAAAAATAAAATAAACTCCATTGTGTGTGGACTGTTCCAACCAAATGGCTGGCTGTAACATTTATGCTTTAAGGGTTTTAAACTTGTATTTCCATTGTCTGGTGCTCTTATGTCACTTTAACAATTGCTGTAAAGCCAGTTTTCACTTGATGGACAATAAAGATTTAAATTGTTAGGACACTGATTTGAACCTCAGATTAAATTTATTAAAAATTAACACGTTTTATCACATGTGTCATTCATGAAAATGAGTGTAAGGTAGAACTCAGTGGCACCTTCATCCATTTTCTTTACCCACTTTCTTTCTGGGTCACGGGGAGCTGGTGCCCATCTCAGTCACTGAGCGAGAGGCGGGGGACACCTGGACACGCCGCATGTCCATCACAGGGACACATAGAGACAAACGAGACAACCATTCACTCTCTCTCACCTAGGGACAATTCAGAGTTACCATCAGTCTAACATGCATGTTTTTGGTCTGTGGGAGGAAACTGGAGCAGCTGGAGAAAACCCACGCAGCACGGAGAGAACATGCAAACTCCCCCCAGAAATGTGTCAAGCCAGTAGGTGATCCTGCGACCGTCTCGCTGAGAAATGACAGCTCTAACCACGGCTCCGCTCTGCTGCCTTCACGCATTGTTCAGATTAAAAACGCAAACGTATAGTATTATTCAGTAAATGCAGAATAAAACAATAAACTCTTTAAATAGCCGTGTGTCTAATATATATTAATATTCATCGTTTGTGCTCAAAGAGGACTTATAGATGAGGTTAGAGAGGACATGGAGGTAGTTGGAGTGAGGACAGAGGACACAGAGGACTCACTGTGGAAAACCCTAAAAATGGAACAGCCAAAATAAAAAGAACAAACTCGTACATTTAGTCACTCAACAAGAATGCAACGGCCTTTAGGTCACTTGAAAATATTTGTAGAAACTGTTAAAAATGTGTTTATTTTTTATAAAGTTATTTACGCAATGACTTTTCAGAATGCTTTAAAATCCCAGGGGTCACTGCTGCTGGATGAGACCAGTTCAGGTTCAAAACACAGAAACACACGTTGCATCCACACTTTGGTTTTGAATGAATCCGTTAATATGGGAGAACATACATTTAAATGATGTAAAGGTGAGCCAAAAAGTTTAATAATGGTTGAAGAAATGTACGTTGACGTTGCAAAATTTCAAGATGAACTTTTGAGATGGTGCTGAGTGGTTGTGCAAATAACTGGCAGACTTGTATGTAAGATTAGTGACTTTGTGGCATACATTTGTAATGAGATTGGAATAAAATGTGTATGTTTTCAGACTTTTTGACTTTATTTCACTATCATGTTAGCTAAAGCACACTTCCAAGGCTCTAAAATGTAACCATGTAAATAAAGCTAATTAAAATTTTTAAATAAATAATTTTTTAGTCTTTACGTAATGCAGTTCTCATCCCTTTTCATATGCCAGATCCCATCAGTGCTTCAGGTTTGTCTCGATCTTTAGAATGGCTCTTTGTTATATACAAAAAGAAAGTGATTTTTTAAAGCACACACACACAAATAAAAAAATAAAACATTAGTGCCAGGCCACATTTTGGCATTACATGTCAAGCAACAAACCAAAGTACATTTCTCATCATTTCTTTGAGTAAGATTTAATAGCTTGCACAAAAATTATCAGCAAAAAGAGCATGCAAAGTTTTTTTATACATTTTATTTTCCACTTCTGGATTCTTCCTGTCATTGCGTGACCTAGAAAGGCCATGTCAACACTGACATAAGTAACACCGGGGACTCGGGGAGCACAGGAAACCTCAGTGTTGCAACGCATGACTGGGCATGACATTTTAACAGAGAGGGTGGTGAACCTTTGTGAGACAGTGCACACTTAAATTCATATTCTCTAAATTGATCAAGCAGCTCTGGGTACTGAGGGATTAGATGGTGTATTTAACAGATGCATTAATGTGCCTCTTTAATTAGTTAAAATGTTTAAAAGAATCTTCTACAGTTAACAGAGTGTATTTTCTTGGCAAACCTCGTGTAGCGTTTCTGTGTTTTTTACAACAAGTGTCACTTCTCTCTTCCTTCTACATGTTTTATACACGCCGTTTCACCTTTTCTCAAAGCAAGAAATTCTGTCTGGACTAACTTTGCATTATACATATATTATGTAGAGACATGACTGAAACAATGCTCTGTACTTTGCTTCTTTCCTCCTAGTCCATGGTCCTCCTGCTCCACAGCCAGCGTCAGTACATATTTGAGTTTGACTCACTCGAACGACTTTCTGCTGTCACCATGCCGAGCGTAGCCCGCTACACCATGCAGACCATTCGTTCAGTGGGCTACTACAGGAACCTGTACAACCCTCCAGAGAGCAACGCCTCCGTAGCAGTGGACTACAGTGAAGATGGCCTCCTACTAAGAGTAGCTCACCTTGGAACAGGCCGTAGAGTCCTGTATCGGTACCGTCGGCAGAATAAGCTCTCTGAGATCCTGTATGACAGCACACGGGTCAGCTTCACTTATGACGAGACAGCAGGTGTGCTGAAGACCGTCAACCTGCAAAATGAAGGTTTCATCTGCTCCATTCGGTATCGGCAAGTGGGCCCTCTGGTAGACCGGCAGATTTTTCGCTTCAGTGAGGACGGCATGGTCAATGCACGCTTTGATTACACCTATGACAGTAGCCTGCGTGTCACCAGCGTTCAGGGTGTTATCAATGAAACTCCCCTACCCATTGACCTATACCAGTTTGATGACATCTCAGGAAAAATTGAACAGTTTGGAAAGTTTGGTGTCATTTATTATGATATAAATCAAATTATATCTACACCAGTTATGACATACACAAAGCATTTTGATGCACATGGACGGATCAAAGAGATCCAGTATGAGATATTTCGCTCACTGATGTACTGGATTACTTTCCAGTATGACGATGTGGGAAGAGTAACCAAGAGAGAGCTCAAGATTGGCCCCTTTGCCAACACCACCAAGTACAGCTATGAGTATGATGTGGATGGCCAGCTTCAAACTGTATACTTAAATGAAAAAGTAATGTGGCGCTATACATATGACCTAAATGGAAATCTACACTTGTTGAATGCCGGAAACAGCGCCAGGCTTCTGCCTCTGCGGTATGACTTGCGAGACCGCATCACCCGCCTTGGAGATATCCAGTACAGAATGGATGAGGATGGTTTTCTTCGTCAAAGGGGAGCAGAAATTTTTGAGTACAACTCCAAAGGACTCTTGGTACGGGTCTACAGCAAGAGCAGTGGCTGGACAATTCAGTATCGCTATGATGGACTTGGACGTAGAGTGTCAACAAAAACCAGCTTGGGCCAGCACTTGCAGTACTTCTATGCAGACCTGAGCTACCCAGCAAGGATAACTCATATATACAATCACTCCAGATCAGAGATAACTTCATTCTACTATGACCTCCAAGGTCATCTGTTTGCTATGGAGATCAGCAGTGGAGAAGAGTTCTACATCGCTTGTGACAACACTGGCACACCCCTGGCTGTCTTCACCAGCAATGGACTTTTGGTCAAACAGCTCCAGTACACTGCATACGGTGAAATATATTTTGACTCTAACCCTGACTTCCAGCTTGTGCTGGGGTTTCATGGAGGACTATACGATCCACTGACCAAACTGCTGCACTTTGGAGAGCAGGATTACGACATAATGTCTGGCAGGTGGACCATTCCAGATATCTCAGCTTGGAAACACATTGCCAAAGAGCCAGCGCCTTTTAATCTGTACATGTTCAGAAACAATAACCCAATCAGCAAAGTCCATGAACTGAGAGAGTATGTTGCAGGTAAGATTTAGTCTTTGTCAAAGGCACTCACATTTTTTTTTTTTAACTAAAAGGATCATCTGTTTTCTATAATTATATATATATATATATATATATATATATATATATATATATATATAT